TGTACTTGATCTATATTCATGCGCTGTGTACATTGAAGCTTATATCAACAAGTCCCAAAGCGGAATGATTATACTCCTTCATGAAGCTTGTAAAGAAGCACGAATGGGTAACATGGACATCAAACGGCAAGTTCGTCACATGGGGAACAAGTTTTTGTGTTGAAAGTCTGTGCACAAGAAGCAACATTTTTTACACTGCAATTTCCACTAACCAAATCATCAAAATATGTTGGTTTCATTAACACATCAGAAGCAAGTGACAGGATATTTCTGCTCTTCTGCCAGATTCCACTGACATTGAGTCTGATAACATTGTCGAAAGTTACTCATAACGTCCAAAACAACTCCAAAAAATGTGTCTTGCAGATTATGCTTCTGAACTTGATATCACATATCCAAAGAAAAAACCAAAACGGATGATATCAATGATGATGATGTGAAACCCTCCGATTCTGACAATGATGAAGGCACAAATAGTTCAGATAAGTGGACGACACTTGTTCTGCCGAATGGTGTTGTGTTAAAGCGAAGAAAGAATAGAAAAAATATTCGTTATGTGCTACAATGTCAAATCAGATGCAGAAAATCACTTCTCTTATTGCTGCCATGGCGAAATGAGGATACTTTGAAGATTTGACACATACCAAGATCATTTTGAACATGTAAGATGTATTGTTGAAAAAAAGCTAGCTAAATATGAACACCATGCTGAAGAACTCGATATTGCCCTACAAAGTGCTAAAGATGACAAGTGAACAATTTGACCCCATCGCACAATTAACACAACATATTGATGAGGAAGATAAACAAGCAGGCTCTCATGAAAAACAATGTGTTTACTAAAAACCAGAAAATACTGCTCACAAAGATTATGATATTGGCATTGACATTGGTGTGTCACAAAGTGTTCAAAATATAGAACACACAGCCACCCTAATACCAAATATTGAAAGTTGAACATCAAACAAAAGGAGTTTTTCTTGCATGTTTTGCATTTGATCAAGACAAAAACTGTCCCTTGTACATGCGGTGCTGGTGTAGGAAAATCTGTTGTAATCAAGGCACTGTACCAAGCATTACGAAGACAACTGAACTAAAGGAGACAATCCTGAAAACTGCAAAATTAGTTATGCGCTCCAACTGGAAAAGCTGCACATAATATCAATGGTACCACAATACATGCTGCATTTAAAATCCTTCCCAACCGTGGATATCAAAGTTTTCAGGTTGATTCCGACACACTGACTACACTAAGAGTGAAGTACAGAGATTTGTCTATTGTAATCATTGATGAAGTATCAATGGTAGGAAACAAAATACTTTCACTCATCAATGAATGCTCCCAATGAATTAAGGGTAATCAAAGCCTGTTGTTTACATTGTTATACAATGTTCACCGTGCTCGGTTGGAATGTACTTTTCAAACATTTCACTTCTACGCCAAATCTAAACTCGATCCGGTATGGCTATGAAAGAGTGATGCCCGACATGATATGATGGTTTGATTATTTAAGGACGGCCTCCCCTGTGTGCAAGATGAATGCGTGAACTTAATGCGTGTGTTTTGGGAGGCTGCGATATGTTCGGGATTATCTCCTTGTGGAAGCGCGAAACTGATGTTGACTCTATAGTGCTATCTCACTGAAACATACTGCCGAAGACACCTAGCAGCACACCGCCACCCGGTCACATTATACTGACAACGGGCGAACCAGTTGTCCCATTCCTAAATTAAGGCGTTAAGGCCAAATAAAACAATATGTGTGTTTCCGGTTCCCCGACCTACCTGGAAAAAATGTGCCCGACCTGAAACATTTTTTTCGCCGATTTTTCTTCCTACTTAAATTTTTCCGGAATGTGTCCGATTTGTTATAATGGGAGCAGCAGGTACAATGCTTATGCCCTTCCTGCAAGGACATGATATGAATCTTTAAGATAGTTGATCCGTAAAAAAACAGAATATGCCAAAGGAAACAGTAATGCAAATCGCGACACAAGAACTGAAGTACAATCGGGTGATTTCATGATGTTCCGACAGATTGTCTCCACAAAAATGATTTAATGCACTTTACAGGTACAAATACTATGCCCTACCTGCAGGGACTTTTTTCATAATGCCATGTTCAGAGAAGTGGGAGGAGAGTTTTTGGTTGTGAAAGTGTTGGCTCATACAAAGACTATGTGACCTGCATATTTTGCAAGGGTTACTATCTGTCAAGATGGTGTCATTAAATTTAAAGACAGCGTGACTTAAAGACAGTGTGACAGTAGATGACAACGAACGTAGAAGTCTACTTGCTGCAGGAAATATGAAGGCAAGTCGCATTCTGGCCGAGAAAATGATAGCAGATTCAAGAAATGATTTGCATGAACATGCTAAAATATTTGGGAATATGAAATCGGATGAGATAACATTTGCTTGCAAAAGTGATCAGATCATTTCAGAACTAGGAATGCAGTTAGTTAAGAAAAATAGAACAGGACACATCGCTTACATAAGATGTAAGTTGAGTGAAATTGGAAGACTGCTCTTACAGCTCAGGTAAAAAAAGTGAAAATGCTACACTAATGGCAATTATCAAACCAAGCACGTTTGATGCAGTAGTAGAGGGTACATGGCAGATTGTAAGTATTTCCTAACAAAAGGGAACTCCAAGTGTGCTGTTATCACTTTCTAAAGTGATCTTTCTTGTAGCGTGAACAAATAACACGCCATGCTTGAATACCACTGCAAAACGAACCGCTTTTATTGCCTCCAACTCGAGAGTTCCACAAGGGGACAAAATCAAGATAACACAATATCATCACATCTCCCTCCCGTAAACGAAAATAACGTAAAGATAAATTTACCACTACAAGATAAATATAAGCAGTACTATTATTTCAAGGTCTTAAAACTTTACCTTGTTTGAAACTTTTAAGAATTAAATTGAAAACAAAATATCCAATAAGAACACTTCAAATAACTGAATTAGTAGTGTCAATATTAACCAGTTCTTTTAGCCAGTTCATATGACCCGACTAAGAAAAAAGATATTATATTTCTTCAATGAGCCTATCTGGTCTCTTAATGGTTCTTTCCGATTTCCTCAGGACTATGGGACTACTCACGGGAGTAATGTCCTGGCGTTCATCATCAAAGTCTGTACATGTACGCGAACCAATCTGATCACTATTGACAATGTCTGGTGTTGGCGACTCTACCACTTCGCGATCCATGCACTTCAGGATATCCTTGCGATTTCTCCCATATGTGTTTCCAGTTTCAGATTCAACTAGGTATGACCTGGGTGATACCTCTTCACGGACTACACCTTTTGTAGACCACGCACTATCACGACAGTCTCTGGTCCTCACAGTGTTCCCACGATCCAAGGGAGGTAGCTCGCGAACACGTTTGTCATAATAGAACTTTTGCTTCACTTTATCCGCGTACCTTTCCTTTCTGAATTTCTCTGACGACTGGGATTTCACGATAAGTTGACTGTCAATAATTGGTAGATTTGACCTTGCTTTTCTCCCGTGGAGAAGCTCGAATGGAGATTTTCCATGTTTTAGTGGCGTCGTTCTGTAAAACAAGTTCATGTAGAAATCACCTTTGTCCTCTCGTGTTTTCTTGAGAAGATTCTTCACAATGCCTACACATTTCTCAGCAAGCCCATTTGACTGAGGAAAGTTTGGACTTGATGTAGTATGCTGGAAATCATAATTTCTCGCAAATTGACGAAACTCGCAGACCATTGTCACTATAGACCTCCTTGGGTACTCCTTGACCAGCAAATGTGTATTTCATGGCCTTAATAACTGATGCAGTATTCAGGGTTTGTAGTGGACATACTTCTGGGTAGTTTGAGTAATAGTCACATATTACTAAGAAATTGTCACCTTTCAGTGTACAAATATCTACACCGACTTTTTCCCATGGAAACTCATGTCACCGGATGTGGATTTAAGGGCTCTGGCGCCTGTTTTGACCTATACTTTGAGCATGTTGAGCATGACAGTACCATTTCCTCTACACTCTTGATTCATGCCTGGCCAGTACATTACTTGACGTGCTCGAAGTCTACATTTGGCAATTCCTAGGTGTCCTGAATGTATTTTCAATAACATTTCTTTTCGGAGACTCCTCGGAATAACAATCCGGTTGTTTCTCAAAATCACTCCATCTACTACACTCAGTTCATCTCTGATATTCCAATAGTCAAGTACCTTTGTTGAACACTTGAGCTTGTTGTCAGGAAACCCATTTACAATGGTTTCTATCAACAACTGTAGTTCTGGATCTTGACTAGTTTCATGTCTGATCTCATCCATTTTTCTGTCAGATACTGGAACGCTGTGCATTATAAAGTCAACATAAGCTTCAACTTCCGCTTCACCAGACCGATCCTCAGGAGTTTCTGTATACTCGTAAGCTCGCGACAAAGCATCTGAGGTATACATGTATTTGCCTGGTGTAAATGTTACTTCTAATGCGTACTTCTGGAGACGTAACATCAATCGTTGAATACGCATAGGACAGTCGTTTAGCGACTTCCGGAATATCGCGATTAGCGGTTTGTGGTCCGTCTCCACTTGAACTTTCTGTCCATAGATATATTGATGGAATCGTTCACACGCGAAGGTGATGGCAAGGGCCTCTTTCTCTATCTGAGCATAGCGTGTCTCAGCTGAAGATAATGCGCATGATGCATAGGCCACAGGAAACCACTTTTCTTCATACCTTTGTAGAATGACGGCTCCTAATCCGGACTTTGATGCGTCAGCAGATATCTTGATATCGGTTCACTAGTAAGAACATCCTTCAGTTCCTCAAAACATTTTTTCTCTGCATCATCCCAGCGAAATTCATTTTTCTCATCCAATAACTGCTTAAGTGTTGTGGTCTTTGTAGACAGGTCTGTTATGTATCGGCCTTGATAGTTCACCATCCCTAAGAAGCGTTGTTTGTTTGTTTGTTTGTTTGATTTTGTTTAACATCCTATTAACAGCTAAGGTCATTTAAGGACGGCCTCCCCTGTGAAGAAGCGTTGTACATCTTTCTTTGACTCAGAAGTTTGAATTGCCCGAACTTTCAAAGGATCAGGTTTCATACCCTCTGCAGACACAACATCTCCTATGAATGTTAATGACTGTACTCCACAGACACATTTGTCTTTGTTGAGTTTCAGGTTTGCTGCTCTAGTAGCCTCTAGTACTTTCCGTAATCTCTGATTATGTTCCTCTAGAGTACTTCCCCATACAATGATATCATCCATTATCGATGAAGCTCCTTCTACGTGCTCGAATAACATGTGTATTGCCTTGTGGTATACCTCTGGAGCAGATGATATTCCGAAGGGTAACCTGAGAAACCTATACCTGCCAAACGGTGTATTAAAACAGGTCAACTTCGATGAGTCGGAGTCCAGTCTCATTTGCCAGAATCCAGAGGAAGCGTCAAGTTTGCTGAAGTATTTGGTATCTTTGAACTTTGACATAATTTCTTCTCTTGTCGGAAGTTTATAATGTTCACGTTGGATTGCACGGTTCAAGTCTCTGGGGTCAAGGCACACTCGGAGTTGTCCGTTTTTCTTTTCCACAACAACCATAGAGCTTACCCACTGAGTAGGATTGTCCTCCTTACATATGACTTCCAATTTCTCCATTCTGTCAATCTCATCTTTTAATCTGTCCTGTATGGCGAATGGAACCTTTCTACACGGGTGTACTACTGGTTTTACTGATGAATCAACTTGTATGCTGTGGTAACCTGGTAGGCATCCCAGTCCTTCAAATACATCAGAAAAATCCTGTACTATACTCTCTGTTGAGGCTGACTGTGTAGATTTATCAATGTTGAATACACGCTTAACTAAGTTGAGCTTGTCGCAGGCTTTTACCCCCAGAATCGCTGTTGCTGCCTTCTCTGCTACTACGAAGTGAACCGGAGTTGTCTGCCCTTTGTGGTGTAATTTCAACATACATGCTCCAGCGACTGGTATACTGTCACCGCTGTATGAAATAAGCTTTACACTAGACTTGTGTAACCTAGGTTTCTCCGTCAACTTGTAATACAGAGTCTTGGGTATAATATTGACTTGACTGCCTGTATCCAGCTACACAAACACAGCCGTCTCCCTTACTGTTACAACAACAGGCTGGTTTACATTCTCCCGCCGTTTTGTTAGGAGGGGCCCCAGGGGGGTTACCGGCTAGATTTGATTCAGCCATGCCTGATATGGTGGCTTGTGTTGATGACGATATTGTCGCGCATGTTCCGTCCCAACTCAAACAGAAAATTTGGACAAATCAATATATATATATTGCTCTGTTGCTGAAAGGCAGTTCCGAATTGCAGGAATTTTACGCTGGCAATAATTTATTCATTAACGAGCATGAGGCACTCGAATCAAAACCTAAGGTGTTGAGAGATAGGCGTCGGACCATTTCTCAATGTTGGGAACCCTTTCTCATTCTTATGCACATTTATTTGCGCCAATTTCCTCAGAAATCATTAGAATTGATACAATATATGACGATTATTAGAGACGCAGCAAACCGGTGCCAAGGCGCCGGGTGGCGCATTTATGATGAACAATTTCGTCTACGTCAGGCTATTTCCCCTCAGTCTTGGTCGAAGCTGAATGCTGACCTGTGGCTAAAGATGATGACAGGGCCTAGAATTCCGAACACAAACAATTCGGTTCCACAATCCAGTGGAGCCAATTTCAGATCTGGCATTTGTAATGCATTTAATGACAATAAATGCAAATATAACCCATGCAAATATAAACATGTTTGTAAACATTGTAATGGTGGTCACCCAATGACTAGCTGCAATTCTTTTCGGGGAAAAAGCAATTCAAAGCAACTGGGTGTCCAAGGTAACAAGCAGGGAAAAGTTCAACCTGGGACTAACTCCAGTAAAAAGTGAAAAACTAGCTTTATTACTAAGAGACCATCCGAATGTAGCCTTTGTGTCTGAATTGGTGAGTGGGTTTAAGAATGGATTTTCTTTACTGGTCCCCGAGAGGCAACAGAAACTGGTAATTTAAAATCTGTACAAAATAATATTTATGTTGCTAGAGAAAAAATAAAAAAGGAAATTAGCCTTGGCAGGGTAGAGGGTCCATTTGCTACTAGGCCTATACCAACTTTAAAAGTATCTCCTTTAGGCCTTGTTCCCAAGAAAAACACTGGGGATTTTAGGTTAATCCATCATTTATCATACCCTGAGGATTCATCTGTAAATGATTACATAGACCCCTAGCTATGCTCTGTATCTTACACAAAATTTGACAAAGCTATACAAATGGTGCAGAGACTGGGAAGAGGGACATTACTCGCGAAGTCAGATATCAAGTCTGCATTCAGGATAATTCCAGTAAGACCAGAAGATTTTGATCTGCTGGGTTTTAAACTAGACGGTCACTATTTTCTTGACAAATGTTTACCTATGGGCTGCTCAATATCTTGTTCAATTTTTGAGAAATTCTCAACTGTGATCGAACAAGCAGTGAGAAAGCGTTTAGCTGCAGGTGAAGTACTTCATTATTTAGATGATTTTTTGTTTGGGGGCAATAAAAACACTAGTCAGTGTCACAAAGCCTTATTAGAATTTGAGAGGCTGTGCAGTGAAATAGGTGTGCCTATTGCACCTGAAAAGACAGAGGGCCCATGCACAGTATTATGTTTTCTTGGGCTCGAAATAGATACGATTAATGTGTATACGGGTCCCTATGCATAAAGTTCAAGATATTGTTCAAAAACTCACAAAAAAACAGTGCAACATTACAACAACTTCAGTCGATTTTGAGGGCCTTGAACTTTGCATGTAGAGCCATACAGCCTGGGCGAGCATTTTGCTGGCGCTTAATCAATGCAACCATTGGTACAACTAAACCTCACCATCATATTAGAATCACAAATGCAATGCGTGAAGATTTAAAGCTTTGGCTAAAAAACATGAATCATTTAACGGTGTGTCCATCTTTTGTGATCAATTTTGGATAAATAATTCAGATTTGCAGCTTTTCAGTGATAGCTCGGCTAAGAAGGGTAATGGATTTGGAATTTACTTTGATGGTGCATGGACTTTTGATAGATGGCCGGACTTTTGGTTTGAAAATGGTTATACCAATGACATCACAGTATTGGAGTTTTCCCCATTACTGGTGGCAGTATACATGTGGGGTGAAAGTCTAAGGAACAGGAGAGTTTTATTTAGATGTGATAATCAATCGGTTGTGGCCATTATTAATTCAATGACAACCACATCCATCACCGTCCTAGCCTTGCTAAGAGCCTTTGTGCTGCGCTGTCTACAGTTGAATATATTTTGTTTAGAGCAGAACATATTCCAGGTTGTGTAAATGTGCTAACATACAGTCTCTCCCGTTTACAGTTAAACAAATTCCGAGAGTTGGCTCCAGATGCTCATCCAGAGCCGGAACAAATGCCGCAGTGGCTCTGGTCTATATTCAGTCTGAGCTTGGACGACTTTTAGCAGCAAGTCTATCAGAAAATACAAAATCATTGTATTCTAGTGCTCTAAATATTTTTTTCAGAATAAGAGAAAAGTTTAAGCTTCCACAATCGTGGCCCGTGCCTTTAGATCACATTTTACTTTTCATCTGTCATCACTCAAAGGCAGAATCATCACCATCTACAGTGAGCTCTTATCTCTCGGCGATTAGTTACGTACACAAGCTTAACTCTTTCCGTACCGTTGTCGTGTACACACGACAACAATATGTCATCCTGGTCCCCGTTGTCGTGTACAGACGACAAAATAAAGGGCCGTCTTATCCCCGTTGTCGTGTACACACGACAAGAGACTATGATGTAACCTGTCTGATGTTTAGTTGGTTATCGCACGAGACTGTCGCGAAAAAACAATTAATTGTCGCTAAAATCAGAACCTACCAGTTTAGAAGAAATAATTTTATTTGTGCAGAGTACACTTTTTTATTATATGACTTAATGTTTTCGCATTTGCCGCAAGATGTTTGCGTGTGGTGCCTCAAATGTAAACAAGATGGTGGCAACTTAATTCGATACGATCACTCGTAAATTCATCATCAGATATTTGTTGAGACTTATGGAAGTAAATTTGAATATTCTAATATAAGTCTTGATGAAATCTACCTGTATTTAGAAAAAAAAATCAACGACTCCACATTCGTAACCATAATCAATCCACATTGGAAACCTGCACTTCAACGCTGTGTTAAGTACAAGGAATCGTATCCTTTATGGCCAGAAAAAATGTCGATTTCTCAGTCATAATCAGCTGCCAGAATGAAGAAGTGTTTGTCTATGAACCAGAACATGAAACAATAACAATATTTGTTCACGGTTACCTGTTTAATTCTTGCGGCAGTTACACCTAGTCTAAAAAGTTCATTAATAATCCGCCATTTTGTTATATGCGCGGGGGCGAGTCTAATAAGTACATCCGGTACGGAATCCGGACCGGAGTTGCGGTACGGAAAGAGTTAAAGGATGAGAAGACCCAACTTCGTCTTTTATTGTTAAGAAAAGCATCTAAGGGTTGAAACGTTCAAAATCGTCTGTAGACATTAGGGCGCCAATAACAAACGATATTTTGAATAAGTTGCATGACAAAATTTCTAACTCAGACATTTGCTACAACATGCATGAAAAAATGTTGTTTAAGGCCGCATTTTGTTTAGCCTTTTTCGGTCTGTTCCGCTTAGGTGAATTAATTTATACATCTGCTCGGTTGGCACACAGGCCACTTCTACTTTCTGATTAAGAATGAATGGTGACCTCACAGAAATGACTATTGTCTTAAGACATTCAAAAACTGTTCAACTTGGTAGATCTGTACCTATCATAATACCTCATATCAAAGACAATAGTGTTTGCCCAGTCCGAAACATGCATGCGTACCTGAACATGCGCACTAATCGCCCTGGTTACTTATTTTTACACCAGAATGGTTCACCTTTGACTAGGTATCAGTTTGGGGCTATCCTCCAGAAATGCATTGTATCTCTAGGATTGCCTCATACAATCTACAAATCACACTCCTTTAGGATAGGTGCAGCAACTACTTTGTCAATGAAAAGGGTTCCAACAGAAACCATTAAAAAAATGGGGAGATGGAAGTCTCAAGCTTGCCAGAGCTACATTCGTTTAACAGTATAATGAATTTCTGTAGGAGTTACTTCCCTTCTTTGATAAGGCTAACTCTAGCCAAAAGTTTTTCAGATGTGTGGATAGTGGGATCCTCAATAGTATATTGGGCTCAACGGGGGGCTGTCAAGCTGCTGGACCATCACCTCAAGCTACGGAGCAAAGGCATATTCATCAGATGGTCTGGAATCCGAGGACTCTCTTGGTTTGAGCTAATTAACAAGATCACAGACCTACTGGCACTCAAACCACCACCAGATTTCCTCATACTTCATGCTGGAGGTAATGACCTTGTGCATGTTCCGACTGGAGAGCTGTGTGCTCGAATAGAGAGTGACATAAATTGGTTACACAAGTCATTACCAGGCTGTAGTGTTATTTGGTCTGATATTTTACCCAGACTAAATTATCGAGGCTGTGAGAATGTAAAGGCAATGGAACGTAAACGTAAGCGTGTTAATCGTGTAGGCCGCAAAGCGGCTTTAGAGGTTGGAGGTAGAGTAATAAAACATGCTGACATTGTTCATACATGTAAAGGGTTGTTTCGGGATGATCAAGTTCACCTGACAGATATAGGCAATGCCATATTTTTGAATACCCTACAGGGTGCAATTGAAAAATTTGCCAGTAGTGATGCTTTTGTTTTTGCTTAAGTATGCGGCTGTACAACCTCCCGGATGTTTTATGTGGGATGGCGGAACTGTTAAGACAGCTCCGTGTGGCAAGATATGGCGGGCAGGTATATAATTTACATTTATTATAATGTTTTTGTTTTATATGTATTATTGGATTGTGTGCTGCTCTCCAATAGTCTCGCTAACAAGTAGGCTTTTGTTTGTTTGTTTGTTTGATTTTGTTTAACGTCCTATTAACAGCTAAGGTCATTTAAGGACGGCCTCCCCTGTGTGCAAGATGCATGCATGTAGTGTATGTGTGTGTATTTTGGGAGGCTGCAAAGGCTAGGAGACTATTAAATACCTGCTACGGTGGTATCCTGGGGGTTGGTGGAAGGACAGTGCACAGTCTAATAGTAATCGACCCACTAAATGCTTGCCAAGCGATTCCCTGGGTGCTTAGTGTGGATTGATTGTTTGTTACTCTTGCGAGAGTGGGTGATATAATTATATCAGTGGTTCCTCTTGCGAGAGGGGGTTGTACAAGTACACACAAAATCTGCTAGGTCAGATAGCAATTAGCTTCATGTCCGGTTCCTGCGG